ACGTAGCAAGATAAACGCTGCAGCACAGTAAGAACTCGGGTAGAAATTAATCAGGGCGGGCCCTGAGTATATAGTGTCTTTAGTCAGAAGTATCCCAAAATAGCGCTAATTTGTAAGAACGTTACATCTGTGTGGGATTTAAGTGGACTTGTCTTTATAAAACCTTGGTAGAAAAAGAAACTGTCTGAGTCTCTTCTAATTTCCGTTTTGAATTTCTATCCGGGAACATACTCGTAACGCGTTGAGCATTAGGCGCGCCAGAACGATCATTACGATCGTAACACGACGCATAGGCGAGATGTATGTAGCAATGCCAAATTGCGATTTCCTTGCTAGTTGGTTCGTTACGTGCATGATACGCGCGTCGAGTTGAATTTTCGTCAGGCTCAGAGGCACATGATACGATCAGACGCAGTTCCGAATGCCGCGAGCTGGAATGCTAAACGTGAACTGACATAAATATTAATTGTACGAGATTACATGTAAATACGGGGGGCGACGAGTGGCGAGGTGAAAGGAGGATACTGCGGCAGTACGTGCATCCCAAATGGACCATTATTCCATCAGCGACACAAACTGTTAGCTAACTCGGTCAAGCGAAGTGACCGTGGACTCTCCTTCCGGAGACAAGTCGTGGGCGGCTGGCCGAGCGACGCTAAGCGGGGGTCAGACTGGCGGCCAGAGGGCGAGCGGTTTAATTTTTGCGGGCGGTTGCCAGAAATAATCTCTCGCTCGGCTCGACAGGGTTGATTGCTTGATTTCGACGGACCCTCGCCCATCCACCGGTGATCTAGCCGACGTTCCACCCGCGAGTTCACCCAACCTCCAGGAATTAGGCTGTTGTCCAACGGTCCGCCCTCCGCGCGATCGGCATACGAAATCCACCGAGAATCTCCCGTTCATAATGCAATTAAATACACCGTAGAGCGCATCGCAATTGTACGACCGAGTCGCGGAAAGAGCGCTCGAACAGATTCGGAGGCGAGCAGCGAATGCATTCCAGAGTGATTTCTCTGGACGTCCTTGTCTATGACGTGTTTGACGAAAATAAAAGCCCACTGTCGGCACTCGCTCTCGAATCTATCTCCTGTCAAGCGACCATAGTGACGTGTAGAATTGTTAAAAGACGACCGTTCCCGCCCAGCTTGCATGCGCGCAAATATCGCGCGTATCGTGCAAACTTAGATGCAACATTTCTTCTCACCCCCGACGTGCCCATTCCGCCCTAAGCGGAATGCTCAATTACGCTCAACGTCACAAAACGCCGAATTGACGGTAATTGCTACTTAAACTTCGCGCTGGGCGCTGTAACGGGGATATTCAAAATTTACATCCATTCCGCGGCTGCATCGTGCTCGCGCAAACACACACGCAACGCAACGTAACGCACCGTGGCCGTTAAGACCGCGAGAGAGCCTCCGAGTGGCGTGCAGGAGTCACGGGAGAACGAAGAGGTAGATGGTACACCGAGACAGCGAGAGACGGTAAGACGAAGGTGACGGGGAAGGGAGGGAGAAACGACCGTTAATATGGAAGACAGGATGAAGGAGACGCGGCAGGATGTGCTCGAGGCGCATTTCACACAAAGTTCCTCGGAGTAGGTAGTAGGTACAAGTTTTAGCCCGAACAACCCGCTCCTCTGCTACGCTCCTTAATAGATACCTACTTCGCGGGACACACCTACCGTCAGCCAGCAGCACCTCACCCCTTCCGTGCTCGCTCTCCATCCCTAATGCCCTCCACCAGGTCCTCCAGGATTAAGCCACCCTCGGGAGCTCCGAGTGCAGAAGCCATCGAGGTCACTGAAGAACGGACGGGGGCTAAGCACGGTTCGCCGTTCGGTCTCTCGGATAATGGCGTTGTTGGACTAACGTTGATGGTGATCAAGAGACGCTCTCGCAGCTTGCAGCTTCCGCAGTTGCATTCTTTCTTATGAATAGTTCTCTCTTTCGCTGTGAGAGTTATCGGCTTACGAACGCCACTCGGCTCGGACGAAGTGCAACGGATGCTCGGGCGAAATCTCATACACCGATTGTTACGTGTAACGGTGGAGGGAGCAGAAATGCAGTATGTAAACCGGAAAAATGGCAGCGTATATGAATAAAATGTACGCTACGCGCAAATGGAGTTGGCATTTTAACGCGTTATCGGTGACCTTTATTTCCCGCCTGGAAGCAACGAGGATGGGAAAACTGACTTTAAGATTAGCTATCACTAGATAATAAATGTTGCAATGGTCTGACGCGATATCACGTAAAAGAATGATTTATTACATACCTTTCAACCGTTTTCGAGCTGTTACGTTTTCTGAAAATGTGATTTATGAGAGAAAGTTACGGAGCTTTTATGGCCGCCGTTTCGAATTATTTAACGGCTCAGAAAGTGTTTTGCGGCAGATATGGAAATTGTAAAAAAAAAGAAGAAAAAAAAGAAATTGAAACTGAAAGTTTGTCTTTCCAAAAAATTTTCAGAGCATCCGAACGAATCGACGAAAATTTTCCGCCGTGACCGAGGTTTCCCAACGACTAACTTTCCCGCACAATGCGTTTCCGCTTTCAGAATAATTTTCCATGGTGAGTTTTAATGACTACGCATTGTCTGTGAAGGCAGGGGAAGAAGATAAAATCACGCGCGGCGCCTAAGACCAAAGGGTTTTTTAATAAGCGGCTGACACCCTTCCGGCGCGATCCGCTTACCAACCCTTTCTTCGTTGGATAGAGACAAATATTCAGCGAAGGGAAAAAATAACGCGGTAGGGTCGCGCCGTCGACTCTCATCCATCCTTTGGACTGTGATAAATGCATCTGGTTAATAAAAAAAAAAAAAAAAAGCGGAACCCGCGGCGTAAAAGCGAGAATCCGCGGAAAGAGCTAAGATCAATTTGTAGCCTCTTGTTTGCGTGACGTTATTATATTTTCAATTAATTGACTGCAATTAAAGAGGACACCTTGTCCTTTTAACCTTGTCTCAGATTATTCGCTCTTTGATTGCATCGCGTGTTAAATCATTTTGTTGATACATTGTAAAGCAATTTTATACTATACTAAACTTTACATCGCGCTACTGACGTCAAACTTGCCAATGCCTCGTACCGCCCGAAGATATAAATAGTTGGCGCAGCTTGTTTGCGTTGCAAATAAAAAAAGAGAGAAACAAAAGCGGTTATTATTACACGCTGCAAAAATCGATCTTGCTGCACCGAAAAAATTCCAGCGATCATACTTCGCAGTTTGCATTGAAAATGCACGGCCGACGTTTTAAGATATTAGACGTCATTTATCCTGCGGCAGAGTTTCGCGAGAAGGAGAGAGATCGAGAGATGCCGGAAAGACTAACCCCACCAAGCTTGCAGGATGAAGATTATGCAGGAAATTATTCAGAATAATTAAAATGCAGATGCGTCGCACAAATCTTCCAGATTTTTCGGTACGTTAAGGAGGGTAGTCGAGCCCTCCTTCTTTATTCCTCCTTTCGCAAAAGGAGCGTGTTCGGCGAAGTTGAAGTCGATTCTACCCAAAGAATATGTATATATACGAAGAAGCAAACGAATGAATGAACGAGAAGGGATGAAATATACTCTGAATAAGAAATGAGAGGAATATTTAAACGTCCCGCTGCTACGATATCTTCGTTCACCTATTCGTATCAAATGTACGAAATAACCTGTGAAAAATTAATGCCAACTTACCAGAGAATTAAATAGACACGACGATGTGGATTATGTAAGGATACACGTATAACCGCGATGAATATTATTCGGCATTGAAATAAATGGAAACAAAAAGAATTGCGTCATATTTTTACATCGTAAAAAATTACACATTATTAGCAAAAGTTATACAGTTCGGAACAAAATGATTTTTGAATGAAAGAATTTTCGTGTAGTCAATAGAATTACACATATCGGCCATGATGTTAATTAAATTTTCGCACCACAAACAATGATTGTCTTCTGTTTGCCTTGTATTTCTATTGTTGTTATACAATTTGTTAGATTCACGTGGAATTCTTTTTCCTTCCTTATAGAGTAAAACAAAGATATTTTAACGTGCAATAAGCACAAATATTTATAACGTTATTAACACTTTTGAGATATATTTGTACACTTCATGACGGGAAATATTTTCGATATCATTTCATAAAAGATCTCGGAGGAAGAGCTCCCACGCTGATAATCAATTCCAACTTTATATCTGTCTCTCTATAGCTTTGGATTTAACGGGCTTTTAAAATGAACACATATGCCTATGAGCGCGGTGCCGCGAATGTGAAAAAAAATAGCTCGAGCCCGAAATATAATCGTGGCGAGTTCGGATCCAACGAATTGATAGTTAATTACCGGGAAACGGGGGTGGCTCGGATAACGGATGGGACAAGCCGTCGCTGTAATTCACGAGGAACGGATTTTCGTGTTCCTTTATACGGGACGTAACGCGAGGCGAGCGACATCGGGGGCCGCACCCTTCCTGAATCCTTAACCCGCCGGAACTGAATATTTAACCTGTCCCGACGAACATAGAAAGAGAAGGAGAGTGAGGATGAACAGAAGAGAGATATCCCATCAAAGCGGATAGATCCGTGTTCGCTTTAACAGGCCCGTCGATTTCTACCATGCGGAAACGCCATCATCGCCTCTCGCGTCCCTTGATAAATATTCGGTCAGTTTTACCAGAGCGGGGACATCACAAGGAAATAAACATGTGACGTGAAGCTTGGTTCGTCACGCGCGAGTTCTCGCTTTGTAAGGCTATTACATCGGATATTTTTGAAAGGATAAGAGTTACAGAAACTATTTTCGCGAGAGTTGATTTCTGGAGACGAGTTGAGATGCAACGCATGTCGATAATTGCGAAATCTCACTATAGCGATATATAAATAAAGTATTAAAACACAGGCACACACATACACTGGCGACCGTGTGCGTCGACGGTGTCGACGAAAATAATGTTAAGGTTCGGGGGAAGTTCTACGGAATGCACGAGGCGAAATGTCAGTTCGCTTCATCTTGATCCCTCTCTCATTTCTCCGCTCTTCTTCCGCCGGCTGACATCTCGCCGTTTCTCATCATCCATCAGCAGAGCCCACTCAAGTTGCAACAACTGTAATTAATTTTCTTTTAATTCTCAAGATTAATGGATCGACGCAGTCCACTTCGTTGGCATCGGGCGGAACCCGCGCTTTATGGTGTTTACGGATCTATTTAGAAATTTCCTGGCCGTTAGGCACACGGCCAAATAAGCATGGTCATCAATAAACCGAATGGCTGGAGCGTGTGCTGGAACTTGGAAAAATCAATAGACAATGAGAGGGAACATCGCGGGTCAATAGAGTGCGATCAGTTGTAAATACCTCCCGTCACGCTTCCCCTTCCCGTTTCTTGGGCCAGGGAGAAAAACGCTCGTATTTTTCCTTACGCGAAAATAACGACTGCAAATATCACATACGCGGAATGTTTTAATTGGTGTCACGCTGCTTTTATTACACGGCGCGCGCGCGCGCACGGATATTATTGGATTTCGTCCGAAATATTGCGCGAAAACAAAATCGAAGGAAAAAAGAAAAGTGCACACGGGATGCAAACATTCAGACGCATCGGTATCGCGGAAATAACGCGGCGCAGCTGATGTTAAACAACAATGCGGAATAATAACGCGGCAGCTGTCGCGTTTAATCCGTTCTGAAAATTTTCTCGGAACTCGCCGTCGCTGAAAATCGTCCGACACGCCCGCATTCTGAAATACGATTCTGTACGCGAGACGGACTTTTCGCCCGCTGAAGAAGGAGTTCGCGATATAAATTCGTCATTAAAACGTATCGAGCCACAGAGGCGTTAATATGGAAATTAGTCTCAGTACATTTGCACAGCCAACAATTTTGATACATCGGAGTATTGCTGACTTTGCCGTAATTACTGTTGCGACAACGAACACCATTACGACAATATAATTAAGGCATTGCATTAATTTGACGTTATCAGTGGCGCACGAATTCCATGAATCGCTAAGGGACATAACATGTACTCATGCGAGAACACAATTTGTAATTACACCTCCAATCTTAGACGTAACTGTAGGGTAAGCATAGAATTTGCAGAGTCTCTTGTAATTGCAGCAACAGAACTTTCCGGTATGCGCCGGCATTACGCAAAGCAGTCGCTGAATAATCGGCTTTTATTCGTCATTTGCCATACCGTGATGTGAGTCCTCGCGCAAATAGCGGCGATTGTTTGCAATAATTTTGCATCCTTCCTCCGCGCTCGGGCGTACTTTTATTTTCCCAGCGAGATGTAGAGCTGTGTGTATACGATTGAATCCGCGTCGCGAGTGAATTTTCCGTTAAAAAGCAAAGGGACGGGAGATCGTATCTTGCCAGCCGTCGGAAAAAGGAAAACAGAACGGAGGATAAAACGACAAACGGTGGAGCAAAGTCGTAGGAAGAGTTCGCGAACGAAGTAACATACCGCGCACGATGTGTACTCCAGCTTGACATCTTTACATCCCGATCGTTTCGACGTATCGGTGCAACAGTTGACCGTCTCTAATTATTTATAATTGCGGTATTGGAACTCTCAAATCTCTCGTTCTCACGCAACATGTCGGAGATTTAGCTCTCGCGCCGTACCTCCGATACGCCAATTTTCGCATAATGGAACGCGCGGAGGTTCCTCGCGACGTCGCACGCGCACCGGCGTCGGGAAGAGGGTCCTATTGTCGCAGACTTATTTCATTTCTTTTTACGTGCGAACGATCGTGAAGAACGAACTTTCATGCGGAAGGTCGCACGCGGATGATAATTCGAGATGGATGGCCGAGTTCTCTCGCGAGAGTGGGAGAGAGAGAGAAAAAACGAACAAGAAATATACTCTCTCCTCCGCGCTCGCGCAGGGACGGGCAAAGGGGTTCTTTATATTCTTTTGGCGAGGCACACCGAGGTCTGTCCAAATGAAGTGTTGAAGAGCTCTGCCAACATGAATGCGAGCGGGTAAAAGTAACACGCGCTTTGAATTGTGCGACTACAAAGAACCGCTACCGGACTAATTTGTCTGAATGAGCAAGCGATGGACTATGGGGGTACCACTGGGGGTTGGACCAGAAACGGGGATCGGACCTAATTCTGGATAAACACCCTTTCATTATTTCCGGGCTTCGCTGTAGTCTCCCGTTCCGACGATTCCGCCGCGCCTTTGGCCTTTGTTCTCTGCGCGTTGTCTTACGCCGGCCCGGGCGAGAAAGAGAGAGAGAGAGAGAGAGCTGGCTTCACCTCGCAGTTATACCGCCGGAAACCCATCAGGAAGTGATCTTCCCACGCGATGCAATCGCGTCGTCGACTGTTCTATCCCTTCATCGCCCGTTAATTGATCCAACGGTGCGCCGATTTCATAAACGCGGATACATTCAACGCGCGATGCGCGGACCGACGACGTTGTCTCGATCATCAATTTTCTCGATGCGCGACGAATCATTTCATGATCGCTTGTATGGATAACCATTCAAGATACGTGAAGTTACATCGCAATGTGATCTCGAGCATGTTTCAATTACTCCAAATAATTATTTCCGTCGAGCAATAAGGACGTTATAAAAACGTTCACTCTTAACTGTAACGAGGGAAAAATTCACTGAAACGGAAAAAGATCCTTGTTGAGGAGAATTTTCTCAAAATAGTTTGCCATTTTTTCATAATTCCTTGCGGTAAATTTCTGCGGTTTTATTCGGAAAATCCGGCATTATCGACACGCCTAACTTTCAGCTGAATCTCGCGAGCGCGGAAACATTCTCAGACTAAGCACAACGATAATTCCCATTCATTGAACTAAAGGACAAATTATACAGCGATCTCTACAGCGTAAAGTTGTAGGTATTTCGAGTCGCAGAATTACGTACAAGCGGATACAACACATACATACACACACAAAGGTTAGTGCTCGTATCCTCGTACACTCGCAATATATGTATATACTTCGACTGATTTAATTAACATGGATCGCAGCAGGCCGGTCGTACGCGTTTAATGATGAGAGCGGCTGCCGGCTCAGCCACGTTTCCTGTTGCTCTGTCCGTAATAAACAAGCCTCTGCCTCGCGCGCGAGCAGCAGTGCTATATACCGACACGGATACAACAAACTTTCCATAGGAAACTTATTGATGCGAAATTTTATTTTCATCCTCGCGGCGAGTTCGCGCGTAAAACAGAACAAGGAATACGCCCGAAATAATTACTTCGGCGCAATGAGTGCATAAAAATCCCGCCGCCGGTGGTGCGCGCGTAGGTCTGCGCGTTACAAAGTCGTTACATATCGTTGCAACGTATCGTACACACGTGGTGGATTTTGAACTACGGTAAATGGTACGCTCGACTCTGAATATTAAAGTGACATAATTTAAGTGTAGAGAAAGAAACGTACATACACGCGAGCCGAGGAAAATGGATGTGAGAAGCGGCAGCTGATTCCATTCCATATTTTGTCACTCTCTCTAACTTAACGAGAGAGAATAACTCATTAAACTCTAACCGCTTATATGGCTATAAATCGCGGAAGCGGAAAGGTGGCGAGAAAACAAATGGCGCTGGAGTGACAATGAGTGGTACGGAGGCTCGGAGAAGAAATTCAGGCAAGACGGCGAAAAATTAAAGTAGCGTCCTGAGGAGAAACGGAAGGATGAGGGCGGAAGAAAATGGTCGGGCGACCGTAAAGGCACGTCGAAACAAGCGGGCATAAAAAACGGGATGCAATTGGCGTGGGCTTAGAGTAAGTCCTCCCGCAGGCCAAACTCTCTCTCTCTCTCTCTCTCTCTCTCTCTCTCTCTCTCTCTCTACATGCGAGATTTTGATGAAAAACTTATGTGCATTAAAAGCTAATATGCAAACATTATGCAACAATTTCCGAATTATCGACTATTTTGTCTTAAAATTACAATAATGGGAAGATCATAATTTATAGTAATACTCGAAACACATATACAGATGTTAAAAAATTAGCGTATCTTCTTGATATCTGTACATCTCTATTAGATAAATTAATGCATAAAATGAAGCACTCATTAGAAAAATGAAAAAAATAATATTTCTTTTTCACTTGTAATATTGTGAATATATATATATATATATATATC